CTTGAGTTATGGATGTGAAGAGTTGTAATCTGGTATGGTCTTACACTGACCACTGGGTATACTGGCTCTTGGGTCTCCAAGGAGGTGCAAAGTCAGCCACTGCCTGAGGCCACCAGCTGGAGTTACAGAGAGATCTGCAGATTCCTCCTCTTTGTTTGAAGTTTGGAAGTGTCCAGATGAGGCCCAGCTGTGAAGTAATGCAGGCTGCTGCTGGGCCTTAGTCCTTCTTTTGGAAGCTTTGGCACTCTTTGACCCAGCAGCAGTTTGTTAGGTTTTAGATTGCAAAAGAATAGGCCATTCATATGCAAAAAGCCTCTGCTCACAGCTTGGGTGGAGTTGTAAATTGGATGGGATAGGGTTCAGGGAATCATCAGGGCAGACCAAACCACAATGGCTGTCAGTCTTCTCTGCCTCTGAGAGGTTCCCACGTCTCTGTGTCCCGCGGCCCCGTGCAGGAACAATGATCACTGCAAGCCCCTCTGCGAGAAAGCCACCCTTGCGTTCCTGTCCTGATGCCAGACAGTCTAGTTTCTCCCATATGAGTCTGGATCCCCAGAGTCTCGCCAGGAGATGGAGTTCAGAGCAATCAGGAGCTTGTATCTCCCTCCTGATTGAAAAAGACAACAGTATACCCAGTTGCCAGCCTGTTTCCACGCGTGCCTCCGTACCTCTGCACTTCCACACCTCCTACCAGTCTCAATGTGCTTTTTTCTTTCCTTCTAGTTGTGGAACTTCCACTCAGCCAGCCTTCCCATGGTTCTGGATTATATCCATTTTGTCTTTTAGTTGTAGTTTTGATGTGGTTGTGCGAGGCAGCAAGTACTAGTGTGTACCTATGCCGCCATCTTGGTTCTTTGGACATGCATTTTTATTTTTTTTATTTATTTTTTTTAATTTTATTTTTTTAATATTTTAATAATTTTTATTTCTTAAAGTATTACAAAGAGTATTACATATGTCTCCTTTTTTCCCCCCCTTGACATTCCCCTGGCCCCTACCCCCCGCCCCCCCCGCCCCGTGTCTTGTGTCCATTGGTTAATCTTATATGCATGCATATAAGTCCTTCAGTTGGTCTCTTAATCCCCGCCCCAAACCCTCCCCAGGCTTCCCACTGTAGTTTAACATTCTGTTCAATGTTGCTCTGCTTCTGTATCTACCCCTGTTCATCAGTCTATACTGGTCCCCTTTATTTGTCCCAACCTCACTGGAGTAGTCTCAACCTCACCAGGGCCGTCTGAGCCTCACCAGGGCCATTTCAACCTCACCGGGGCCGTCCCTACCTCGCGGGGGCCGTTTCAACCTCACCGGGGTCGTCCCTACCACACCGGGGCCGTTTCAACCTCACTGAGGTCGTCCCTACCTCACGGGGGCCGTTTCAACCTCACCGGGGCCGTCCCGACCTCACCAGGGCCGTTTCAACCTCACCGGGGTCGTCCCTACCACACTGGGGCCGTTTCAACCTGACCGGGGTTGTCCCTACCACACCGGGGCCGTTTCGACTTGACTGGGGTTGTCCCTACCTCACGGGGGCCGTTTCAACCTCACCGGGGTCGTCCCTACCTCACGGGGGCCGTTTCAACCTGACCGGGGCCGTCCCTACCTCACGGGGGCCATTTCAACCTCACCGGGGTCATCCCTACCACACCGGGGCCGTTTCAACCTGACCGGGGTAGGACATGCATTTTTAAAAGAAAAAGAAAGTGAGTTGAAGTTGTAAGAATGTTTACGAAAGTTGTAAAAAAGGTTCATGAAAGTTATAGGAGGTTTGTAGAAAAAATGTTAAAAGGGAGTTATATAAATGACACAGGCCAATAAGCCAGAACAAGCAGAATAGGGAACTGAGATAATAAAATAGCAGTCCACAGCTGTCTAGTAAATCCTATCTTCCTAAACCAAGGACACTTAAAAGTAAATAATTTAAGAATAAACCTCATTTTGGTATATTAATCAAAACCCTCCAAACTAATGTCTCTTTCCTTCCGCCAGGCCATTTGTCATAACTCTTATTGTTCTAGCTTTTGCCCCAGTATTACTAAAATGTATAAAACAGTTTGTCTCCATCAGATTACAAGTCCTACTTGTACTCAGGAAATACCACCCCTAGATACCATCAAAACCTCCTTTTGTGCCCAGGCCTCATCGTCCCTCTGACCCCCAGAGCAAGGACAATGGGCCAGGTACAGGTGTAGAAACTCACCAGGGTGGAAAGCTCCAGAAGCCCAGGAAGGGACAAAATTGGGGAGAAACAAAAACCTCGCCCCCAGGGTAACCTACCCTCCCATTAGCCTTCCTGGAGAAAAATAGCCCCTCTCCCATTCCAGCCAAATGACTAATAAATTATATACCTAGACTTTCACATTCCTGCAGATCGTTAGTGACAACATTCATCCATCTGAACAGTGCAAGATATTTTCGAGTTCATTACAGACCTCTGGCACCAGAGCGATTTACAGGATTTCTCTCCATATCACATGTCTTTGTTTACTGTCATAGTGCTCTTATATCCCTAAAACGATCCCTCTACTAGCCCTAGACCAGCGGTCATGAACCTTTCAGACCTCTCGGACCACCAGTGGTCCGTGGACCACTGGGTGGTGACTGTTGCCCTAGAGTCTAAGGCCTAGACCCGTGGTCAGCAAACCGTGGCTCGCAAGCCACATGTGGCTCTGGCTCTGTGCAAAAACATGTTCCCCTTGAGCGAATATCTTACAGGAACTTCTGAGACCACAACTCTTGCACAGCCCAGATACATGCATCAACAGAAGCTGCCTGCAGTCCAGCCCAGACACGTGTGTCAAGCAGAAGCCACCTGCAGCTCTCCCTAAGCACCTAAAAAACCTTCTTCCTCCCCCATTCAGGGCTGACTTCTTCCTCGAACTCAGCCCATCTGCATCCACACACATTAAATAAATATCATTTTGACTACATTAAGCCTTGAATGGTTCTATGCAACCTCGGCCCAACTTGGAACCTTTCAGTGTTATATTAGGCTACTTCATAACATAAGAAGAAAGTCTTAATATAAAAATAAAGGGCCCTAGAGCATCAACCTGCAGACTGAGGGGCCTCGGGTTCGATTCTGGTCAAGGGTACATATCTGGTTGCAGGCTTAATCTCCAGTAAGGGGCATGCAGGAGGCAGTTAAAAAATGATTCTCTCTCATCATTGATGTTTCTTTCTCTCTTCTCTCTTCCTCCCTGAAATCAATAAACATATATTTAAAATAGAAATAAAGGAATAAAGCTGACTGTGAAATAAAATGTACAGTATTGCTCAGTTTTGCTCTAAAATGTGCATAAAAATAAGACTAGAGCAGCCGTGGGCAAACTACAGCCCGCAGGCCGGATCCGGCCGGTTTGAAATGAATAAAACTCAAAAAAAAAAAAGAAAGTACCCTTTTATGTAATGATGTTTACTTTGAATTTATATTAGTTCACACAAACACTCCATCCATGCTTTTGTTCCGGCCCTCCGGTCCAGTTTAAGAATCCATTGTGGCCCTCGAGTCAAAAAGTTTGCCCACCCCTGGACTAGAGGATATATACCTCAATTTATAATGACGGTCACCTATGAGTGATAGAAATTGAGTTGATATTAATTTTGATTATTTACATGTCCTCATTTTTCTACAATGAACATTAGTTTTATATTAGAAAACAACACTGTAAATCTCTCTATATAAAAGCCTAAGGTACCGTCAGACCATGCAATTATCCTACCAGTAGCTATGATGTGCAATGACCACCAGAGAACAGATTCTCCAACTGGTAGCTATGACGCACACTGACCACCAGGGGGCAGATGCTCAATTCAGGAACTGCCCAGATGTGGTAACTTGGCAACTGCGATTCTCAGGTGACACACCGAGAACCAGAGAGGAGGGAACCTGATTCCGGGGTGTGTCACCCGAGAACCACCTTCTTGCAATCCAGGACCCCTCGGGGGATATCAGAGAGCTGGTTTCAGCCCAATCCCCACAGACCAGGCTGAGGGACCCCACCTGTGTACAAATTCATGCACCAGGCCTCTAGTCTGAAAATAAAATACCCAAGTCTACCATTTTTTTTTATCTGAGACTCTGTACTAATCAGGTCCACTCATGTGATCCCACCCCTTCTTAAACTACTATTCCACCTTGTCCATGCCTCTCTTTACCATGGACTTTGCATGCTGTTCTAGTTATTGGATGGATGTCTGTCTTCTCTCCCAGACTTGAGTTCCTTGAGGACAGGGCTGTGCTTTACTAATCTGTGATCTTTAAGAGCTGGTGTAAAATCAGTGCTTAATACACATTTATGGAATGAATCATTTAAAGGGGAGATAGGCACCTCAAAGTACTAAAGGATCAATACTACCACCTAGGTGGGGAACCCGGATGTGGAAGATAACAGTGTTGCTGGTGCTGGAGGGTAATTTGGGAAATCTACTCTGTCATACTCAGATGGTGGGTTTCAGAGGAGTCCCTGGGGCAATAGTGCATCATTGAAACAACAGGGAAGCTGGTTTTGTAGAGAAAAAGAAAGACTCCTTTTCAGATAGACACATTCTGAAGTGACAGGGGAGAACTTAAGACCAATGTCATAGTCAACAGCCATCAAGGGGTTGCCTGATGCAGCTGAGTGAGCTGTTGCATGAAGGAAGCATGTGTGAGGGAGAATCACAGGCAGGTGGGCTGGGTGGAGGGCAGCTGACGTCAGCATGGGGGTGGATGTGCACCCAAGAGAGAAGGTAGCCATTGTAACAGAGACAGGAAGAGAAGCAGCAGTGCGAGGCAGGGCCACAGCAGGCTGCCCAGAAGCAGGCAGGGGAGGTCTCGTGGTCAGATACTGCTGCGAAGGACCCTAGGTGGACAGAGAATGGGGGTCAGATTTTGTTGTTAGAAGTCACTGGTCACATCAATCCTTTAGTCCCTGGGGCCAGGCTCAGTGAGAGTGCCCCCAGTGGCCAGGACAGTGATACCAACAGAGGACCTGGAGAGAGGAGAGAGGGGGAGCACTTACAGAAATGCACCGGAAGTCCTTCCTGCTTGTCTGTGCTGTTCATCCTCATTCAGTTGAAGCCTTTCAATGCGGTGGCAGAATGTAAAGAAGAAAGTGAACAGCAGGAGCTCCATGTCAGTTTGGACACATATCCTCAATGTAAAGGGAATGAAAATATTTTTCATAAAGTTTTCATCCTGAATCTCATAAAAACAGTGCAGCAAATGCCAAGAATATGTGTCTAGGTTCAGATACTTGGCAAGGACCTCACTCTTGGCCAAGTGCAGCAGAGAGCAATGCCTCTCCCGAGACAGGCTGCATTTGAAGATGCTCTCCATCTCTCTCATCCCCTGATCACTCAAAAGGCCAAATAGGAAACATGTGGTTGGTTCTTCAAATAGGTCATGCCTGTCATATACATCTGTCAAGTCTGTTATAATTTTGATGTTATTAAAGCAATCACCTTTCAACACTCCATTGCCTAAAGCATAGGACATTGCTGCAAAGAACTCCTGGAAGCACAGGTGAATGAAGCTGTAGCTCTGCGTGGTGGGGTGCTCTTGAAGAACACCCATGTTTAAGAGAGTGGAGATGTTGGTTTCATCTAACCCGTGTTTCCTGAAGTCCTCGGGGCTGAACAGAGTCTTTCCTTGACAGGTGCCTTCAGCAGCCAGAGAGCAGAAGTCCCTCAGCTTAGTCCGAGGGACTGAAGCTGGAGAACGTGGAAAAAGTAGTGCAGACAGAAGGGCTGTGGTCGTCTGGGAGGTCAGTGAAGAGTGGTTGCTCCTGGCACATCTGCTGCTTCAGGCAAAGTGCAGACCAGCGAGTACGACAAGGGCATGAGACACATGGTGAAGAGAGCCGGGTTGGATTCAACCGAGGTAAAGGCTCTAATCGCTTGGCTCTCATCTGTGAAATATTGGAAGAAATAGTCCTTCCTGGCCGACTCGGAGAATCCCAGGACCTCCACCCAGCGAGGATGCTTTAAAGAAGGAATGAGTTTTCTCAGAGCTGTGATCCGAGCTGTGATCAGCAGGGAAGTCGTGGGAAGTAAGGTTTTCTTCAGCAAACTGCCCAGCAGTGTGTGCACCTGCTGCTGCTGGCTCCAGTGTGGACAGAGCTCAGAACTCTGCTCCTTCAAGTCCCATTTTGGTTCATCTATGTTATCAAGAATGAAGAGCAGCTGCTCTGGCTGAGACAGGATCTGCCCAATGGGAGCATCAGGAGCAGCCCAGTCTTTCGTGATGAGCTCAGCGAGACTCATGGTCTCTGACTGGGCCAGCTCTCTGCAGTTGAAGTAGAAGACATGCTTGAAGCGGTTCCTGAACAGCCAGCCTTCCTCCCAGGCTCTCCTCACCTGCCTGGCCAGTGTTGACTTCCCGATTCCAGCAACTCCATGCACCACGACAGTGGGAGGCTCCTCCTGGGTCCTCAGGCCTGGGCCAAATAAGTCTCCAATCTCCATCAACTGTCCTTGTTCATCTACCACCTCATGATTCCTTCTTCTCCTGAGCAGGAAGTCATAGCCTCTGTGTTGAGATCTGTGTAGAAGTAGCAGTTGTGTGAATTTTTGGTGCAAATACTCATTTCTCCATGACTGTGTGGGGCAGCAGCTCTCTCTCCTTTGATTCTGGTATTTTTCTTTGATTTCTACACAAAGGAGAGAAAGATAGAATATTTGTTCAATTGTTTCTCCATTTATTTCACATTTGTTTTTCTGAACCCACTTGAAGCTACACACTGTGCTGGCTGCTGATATGGTACACTCTTGCCAGGCCAGTGGAGAAAACAGGGTTTTGAGGAGAAGAAACCAGCTTAAGTTTTTTGTTCTTAAAAAATATATTTTATTGATTTTTTACAGAGAGCAAGGGAGAGGGATAGAGAATTAGAAACATCAATGAGAGAGAAACATTGATCAGCTGCCTCCTGCACACCCCCTACTGGGGATGTGCCCACAACTAAGGTACATGCCCTTGACCGGAATCGAAACTGGGACCCTTCAGTCTGCAGGCCGACGCTTTATCCACTGAGCCAAACCGGTTAGGGCATTGACTTGATCAAATCATTCTCATAGGGTGATGTTTCTTCATTCTGCAAATATCTAATCTAGGGCTTACACTGCGAGGCACTTATCTAGAGGCTGGGAATAAAGAGTGAATAAAGAGACACAATTGTCTGCTCTCACTAATTCCATGACCTGAGCTATCAGCCCCACTAAGCGTCAGTTTTTTCATTCATAATTTGTAAGTAGTTTTTGTTGAGTGAAGGATATAATGGATGGTGAAGCAGATACTATTGGTTCCTGAGAGTTCCTCCTCTGCACCCACCAATGGCAAGGATATTCTTCTACTCGCACCTGTGGTTTTCTGTCTGAGGTCTCTCTCTCAGGCATTGGGTGTGACAGGCCAGAAGCCCTGGGGAACTAAAGCTCCAGGGGGAACTCTCAACCAGTGATAGATGGCAGTACCCTGACCCCAGGAAAGACAACACTGTCTCCTGAAGATCCCTAGTTCATTGAACCTCAGTTGCCCCACAATGCAGGTTTCATTGGTTTCCCTACTTCCCTTCCCACTTCTCTCTCCTAATGGTGCTTCCAGGGAACCAGTTCTTGAATAAGCCACCTGCTCTCCAATGTCAGCTTCTGGGGGAAACCACCTGGACAGAGGAGAAAGTGGTTTGTGAACTGTGATGAGCTGAGCACATGTCAGCGACTGTGCCCCTGGGAGGAACCTCAAGGTCATATCTTTGTCAGATTCCAAGTTGAATTACTGCTACATCCTTTCTCCTTCTTCTCTTCAGGATATTTTGAGTGACTTTCATCTCTCTTCATAGATGAATGTTTGAGATGATGCAAGAGACCCATCTGGGGTCCTGAAGCCCAGTTCATCTTGGGAAACCTGCTGGGCCTCCAGAGTATGTGGGCCAATTTTCACCTGTAGCTTGGTGAGAAAAGGGTATTAGGGGCCCACTCCCTCCTCTGCAATCATGATCTGAAGATCCACTTTTATTGTCTCTCTTGAGAACATTTCTGGCAAAGTGCAGATCTTCTAATGCATCAATATGGCCACTCTGCATCATGGTTATGGCCCAACCCACTCTGAATCCTATGTCTGCCTGAGGTGCCAAGAGAGGACTTTGGTCTTTTGGTGCCATGTTCTCCAAAATATCCTGGTTTTAATGGATCTCCTAGCATTCCACATATCTAAATTCTCTTGATTTAGTAAAACTTTCAAAATTCTACCCTTACCACCAATACTTCTATCAATATACATTTTAGCATTATGCTTTTGACCAGGGTTTGGCAAATTCTGGCCAAATCTAAGTGTCCACCTGTTGTACAACCTGTGACCTAAGAATGGTTGTTACATTTTTAAATGGTTGAAAAAGTCAAAGAAGAATTATATTTAATGACATGAAAATTATATAAAATGCAAGACATGTGAAGAGATGTACATCCAGGTACATGAAACTCATAGGTCCTGGTAGAGATTCAACTTTAAAAGGACTTTATTTATCACATTATAATAAAATTGTCAGAAATGAAAGACAAAGAGAATATGAAAGGAGCAAGAGAATGACCGATCTCAGACAAGGTGACTCCCACAAGCTATGAACAAATTTCAGCAGAAACATCACCGTTCAGAGAGAGTAGATGATATATTCAAAGTGCTGAGAGAAAAAACAGCTGTCAGCTAAGAATGAGCAAAGGTTCAGAAATGATAAACATAAGTGGAGGGAGTTCATTACCACTAGAACGGACTCACAAGAAATGCAGAAAGGAATTCTCCAAGCTGAAATAAAGGATGTTAATTGGTAACATGAAAATATATGAACGTACATATCTTACTGGTAAGGGTAAATATATAGTCAAATTCAGAACATGCTACACAGTAATGATGGTGTATAAATAATTCTAGTAGAGTGATGAAAAGACAAAAGTATTGGCTAATGCTGTGGGAGTGGGTGGGCGTGGGTTGTCAGACTGTAGTAAATCCTGGGAGCTGGTGCAGAGGGGCATGGAGGCACTGGTGCAGGACAGTATGATGACCTTGGAACGTCTTTGGGGTATGCAGGGGGTCATTGACTGATGATCAGGCATTTGATTTTAACTTTTAGCTTTGTAACAGCTAAAGGGACCACGTGAGAACATGTGTGGATTTGGCCCCTGTTACTGCAAATGGTTCAGAGTTTGTATGCTCCTTTTTACAAGTGATTTCCCAGATCACAGTGCTCTGCTGAGATTTGAGTGGGATTTGAGAATTTGGGGAACACCTGCAGCTTTGTAACTTCAGAGGTGTAATCAGTTAAAAAAATTCACCTTTTGTGGAGTTGTGTTTTGTCAGTCATCTCTGTTAACTGAGCCCCAAGAAGGACTCCATGAAAGATGACAGAAGAAGTCACTGTTATAGCCAAGTGGGGTGTGTGGGGGGGGAGGGGCTAAAGTGCCCAATAGGACAAGAAACTTAATTAACATCAAAATGAATCAGCACATGTGGCTACTGAATGACTTCAAGATGTGGTGGCGGGTGAGGAGGTGGCCAACAGGACAGGCCATGGTGCTGTCCATCTACAAGGAGAGGAAGAATGGCCTGAAGAAGGGCTCCCTCATGAAGAATCTGAAGAAGACACTGAGCCTTGGCAATACCAAGAGGAAGACCAGCATGTGAGACTTGTCCCTGATACCCAGCACTGAGTCTGAGTACCCTGCCAAGGAAGGAGTTGCCAACCATATCTATGACCTCAGCATCCTGAGGGGTATTGGAGGGCGACATCCTCATTGGGGACAGCGAATCCTCGCCCAGTGACTTGTCATGTGTCTCTCAAAGCATCAGGAAAGAACGAACATTACAAGTTGCAGCTTGTGAAGCGTGTCAACTGCATCAGGCAGCGAAAGTTTCCCACTATGGACACTACAGAAAGGCCCCCTCCTCACCGCGGGCATGGGGAGAAGCTGTACCTCATCGGAGCACTTCAGTGATGTCCTCCCAGGGCCCTGCCACCTCCCGGCCTTGGTGCCACACTTACTTCCCCAGCGCTGAGCTGGTGGCTCCAAGACATGGTGGGTCACCTGCTCTCCTGCAGCCCCTGTTCTGTCCAGTGGCTCCTCCCCTCCTGGGGTCCTTTGCCTGGTTGATGTTTCTGTCCAGGTTCTTTATTTCCAAATGCCTCCCCTTTGCCATCTCAAGACCTCATTCCAGGGTTCAAGGCCGCCCCTACCTACTGTGGTCAGTTTTAGAGAATGAAGGATGGAAGAGGGCAAGTTTGTCCAGTTTATTCTTCTCAATTAGAAACAGCCGTAGACTCTCCAAACTGTTATGCTGTCAGCGCCCCTCAGTAAAGACAGTGGGCCCAGTGGGGATGCACTGAAGCTGCCCTTGGTGAAGTGACCTAGGTGCCCTCCAAGGTGAAGGTCCCTGGTCCCAGCAGCCCTTTTTGGTGTCTTTTACGCACACACACACACACACACACACACACACACATTATACACACACACATTACACACACATTATACATACACATTATACACACACATACACACACTCTACACACACACACACACATATGCATAATTTTTTTTACAGGGAAGTTTTTCAGGATTTACAAAGAATATGTGATTGGTAATAAGAGACATAGAAAGTTTATGAAGGAATTGCATTCTGTTTTCTTTACATTTTTACTTCTTTATCTTTTAAACAACAGTCTTGAGATGGTACATTCCTACAGTTGAAGAAGGGGTCTTGACACCTCCTAAACCTGCATGCTGAGTCTCCTGGCTACTGTAATAAACAGTATTATGACAAAACTGTGTGTGATTTATCTTAGGTAAACTCCAACTCAATGATGGGACAGCAATGACTGAGCATTTACTGAATGCTCAGTGCCTGAAGGGAGGAGTTTAACACATTTATTACTTGTGTGTTTTCTTTTTCTGTCACAACATTTTTTATTATATTGAAATCATAAATTTAATGAGTGAAACTCCAAGAGGAAAAAAAGAAGAAGAAAAGTATTAAAAATAACTCTAGCTAAAATAATTTGGACATGGAGTCACAATATTAAAAATATAAATCATGACAGCAAAAACAAAAATATGGGGGAGTAAAAGAGTAGATTTTTGTATGTGATTGAAATTAAATTGTTATAAGTTTAAAATAGACTAATAAGCATAAGGTTTTTTTATGTAAGTGTCATGCTATGCACAAAGCAAAAACCTATAGCAGATACACAAAACATACAGCAAAAGGAATCAAAGCACACCACTATAGAAAACCATCAAGCCCTGGCCACATGGCTCACTTGGTTGGAGTGTCTTTCCATGCACCAGAAGTTTTCTGGTTCAATCCCCTGTCTGGGTATGTAGGGGAGGCAACAGATAGACATTTCTCTCTCTCCCTCTCTCAAAATCAATAAAAACATATCCTTGGTTGAGGATTAAAATGGAAAAAAAAGAAAAGGAAATAATCAAATCACACAGGAAAACACCAAGAGAGGAGGAAAGGGAGAAAGGAAGCACAAAAACAATTGACAAATCCTTCCCTATCAGTAATTACTTTAAATGTGAAAGAATTGAATTCTCCAATCACAAAACATAGAGTGGCTGAATGGATAACAAATAAAAGCAAACCAACAATAAAACCCAAGACTGACTCTATGCTGCCTGCAAGAGACTCACTTTGGCGTTAAGGACACACATAAACTAAAGGGAAGGGATGGAAAAATGTTCAGTGTAAAAGGAAGGAAACCAATGTGAGCGGGATTAGCAACTATTATATCAGTCCGCAACCCTTAAAGGACCCACTTGAAAAGCTGATGAATGTTCTATTGACATCTTCCCTGGGATCTCCCCTAAGATCTCCACTCTTAAAGCTTTTAGGATGGAGGACCCAGTGCGCTCTCCCTCCTGGGTGCAAGCCCATGCATTTCCGCACCCCTCCCCTCCCCTTCCATCCCCCATTACCATTGCCTTTACCTTCCTCACTCCCAAGCTCCAAGGGCCCTTCCTTTGCTTCTGTAACTTGTTTCCTGAACCCCTTTCTTCTACCATCCATTTCTGATACCTCTGTGATTTTCTAAGTAAAAGTTCTCTTACAGTTTGAGTCTTGGCTCTGAATTCTTCCCTAGTCAGAACTCTAATACCAAGGTCTGGTCTGACCCCTCTGGTCTAACACCTGGTGTTGTTCTGGCTGTCATCATTAACAGCGTCAGAAAACAAGAGACCTGTCTTAACTAGGAGAGGTCAGGAGGAACCAGTGAGCCCACTGCAGCCTGCCCCACCCTCTCATTGGAGAATGGTGCCCTGATACTGCCCAGCAACTGTCCTGATCTGGCCTCCAGGAAGTTTGTGTCTCTGCTTCTGCCTCTACCTCCCCATATATGTCATGACACCTCTCTGTGCCTCAAGTCCCCTCACATGAGGCTGAGAGCCTCTGCCACCCACAGCTGTCAGTAGTAATAACATCGCGGGGGCAGCAACAGTAGCAACAGAACAGTTCATTGAGCACTGTGACTAGGAAGTGGACTCTGGTAGGTGTCTAACATGGATTACCTCTTTACCCTCCTACAGTCCAGGGGGCAGGCTCCTACCCTCTCATTTTACAGATGGAGAGAAGATGCAGAGAGCAATGAAGCAACTTGCCCAATGTGGTGGTGCCAGGACCGGAACTTGCTTCTCCTGGACTCCCTTCTGTGCTTATAGCACAAACCAGGCAAGTGGCCTCTTGGGAGGTGGGTGTGAAACCCACACCCTCTGCTGGTGCCTCCTGAGAGTCAGCCTCTGGTCTCTCTGGCCCTCTGAGTGCTCCCTCCCAGGCGCCGTGAGGACCCATGGGTTGCTGGGAATGCACTTGGCATTCTTCCCCCACACGCCTCTTAGCTGCAATCTAGTCTGAGTCTGGATCTGCCCTTTGACAATTCAGTGCCCAGGGTCAGGTTTGGTGGTTTGGTGGGAGGTGCAGCAGTGGGAAGGAGATGAATCGCAGGCAGAGGGAGTTTTGTCTACTCACCTGACTTCATAGCTGGCTCTTTCCGGGCTGTGGCACACAGCTGGCTCAGGCCCATCTGCTCCCAGGTCTTCTGGGCCAGGTCCCAGGCCTGCTGCTCCCCGTGTTGAGCCACCAGGCATGAGGCCACCTCCATGCCACCCACCTCCTCTGGTTGAGCTGGGGTCGCCCCAGGAGAATGCTGGCAGAGATCCTTATCAGGCAGCCGCAGCAGGAACTCCCTCAGCTGCTCCTTGCTCATAAACTCCAAGATCCAGGCCAGCCGCTGCTGGACTCCTTCAGCCATCTTTGTTGCACCAACCTGCTCTGCTGCACTGGTTATGTCTCTTGCACTCAGCGGGATTCGGAAGCCCTTTGGGTTGTTCCCTGGGGAGGGGGTGAGTGATGAAGGAATCAGGCAGGCAGAGAAGAGCAGTCATCCTTGGTCCCTACCATCTCCCAGTGCAACACTTCTACTTGGGTCATTATGGTCCCCTGGCAAACTCCTATTCAGCATTCAGAACCCACTTTTGTAAACCCCAGGGCATCTGCCAACAGATGTTGGGAGAAGGGATGTGAAGGAGAGAGGCAGGAAAAGGCATAGGAAGGAGGATTCCAGAGGGGGCTGGGAGACACTGGAAGAGACCAAGTTACTGAGTTGCTGGGCCTGGTCTGGGGGCAGGCAGGAGTGTGAAGGGGGCAGGGATGGGGGGATGGGATGTTCAGGACACTCACTGTTCTGTGCTCCTCAGTCCTCAGTCTCCTGAGACCTGGACTCTTTGGACCAAGCCTTGAGCTGCAATGCTTCAGGAGGTGGGGGACGGGGAGAGGCAAAGCACAGGGTGGGCTTTGAGAGCTCAGGGTTGAGCTCAGAGTTGCCCCATCCACGTCTCTTCAGACCTCTTCTGGTCCCAGGACACCAACCAGGAAGAACAGACTCACCCAGCAAGAGAGGAACAGAAATCACCCAGAGGAAACCACATGGGAGTGAAGTGAGGGGAGGGGAGGGGCCATCATGGTTCTGAGCAGAAAAGAAACTTAGAGCCAAACACACAGACAGGCCACATCTACAGTCTCCATGTATAGTGAGGCCAGGGGCACAAGGACAGACAGCCTGATGCCCTGGATGCAGACCCAAGTAGCATGACATACTTGCATCTTCACATGACACCCTGCCCAGGGCCCCCTTGTATCTTTCTGCTGAGCCAGGGTTGAGAAACTTCAGGAAGTTGAGTGTAGGGACAGAGGCAGCTCTCAGGAAGGGCGGGGAGCCTCGAACCTTCCTGAGGAAGCAGGGTTCCTGAAGCCCAGTTCATCTCGGGACACCTGCTGGACCTCCAGCGTATGTGGGGTCAATTTCCACCCAAAGCTTGCTAAGACTAGGGTGTCAGGAGCCGCCCCCACCTCTGGAATCATGATCTAAAGATCCACTTTTGTTGTCTCTGGTCAGGATATTTCTGGCAAAGTGAAGATCTTCTAGTGCATCAGTATGCCACTCGGGGTCATGGCAATGGCCCACCCCACTCTGAATCCTGT